CCTTGTGTGTCCCAATGCGGTCGCAGTTTTCTAGACCACACATCTCCTTTAGTGTATGTGTCATGGCTGCTCGCTCGTGAATGGTTAAGAACCATCGGTCAACAGCATCTTCGTTGCTACTCATTCCAACTATGCCCCCCTTTGTCTTGGTATCAAGGTTAATTGATTGTTCCAGGGCCATATCTGGCCAAACTTGTGCAAACGGTTGGTTAGAGCGGCTTACACTGTGGTTTCCAGCAATGAACTCTTGGTGAACTGCGGGGTGAGTTAACTGCAACATGTGCATGTCAGAGATATAGACTGGAAGCCACCTGAAATAATTGACCCTGTCCATAGAGAAAAAATGGGGAACCATATCTGTTGTGGTGGAGAGGTGGAGTTTCCAGTTCCCGGTTCGTTCAGCTTTAACGAACTGCAGAAGCAGCAGCACCATATTAATGTATCCTTCCAAGAAACTAAAAAACTTTGGACTTTTCTCTGCCTTCAGATTTGAACCGCTCAAACAGTTTCATGAGAGGATTGACACAACCTTGAAGTGCTTTCCAGACATCATTAACGAAGCAATCCTGTCTTACTGTATTCCGACACTCTCTGCTTTGGTCAGCAACACTCTGTTTGACTCGGTCATCCACACCAACTGCTTGTCTTGACAACCAATCTAAGAAGGCTTTCCACAACAACCTGAAGAGCGTCTCCATGGTTAACTGTGGGCACGAATACCTCTGTTTTATGACTTGCCAAGCATCAAAACTGAGGTAGTAACAGCTGCATAAACCCCTGACTCAATCAGTAAGTCTTCCAAGCCTGACTGTGCATACTTCTTTCCAAGCAGAGAGAGAAATATAAGGGCAATGTAGAAGCGCCCCCCCCCATTCCGATCACAGTGTTTTTAAACTCCTCTGGGTATTTCATTTGTAGCTGCTTAGCTTTTGCTTAGAGGGCAAGATCAAAGGTAATTACAGAATCGTGCCGTCTCATTGTGTCGTATATCTTTTGGGCCAGTTTCATCCAGGTGTAAAGAGTGCTAAAGTTGCTTGACTCTGCATGGATCATTGGGTGATAGCCGATGTTGGTCTTCACAGGAATGGTGGGGTCTGTGATGGCATTGAACCCACTCCAACCAGGCATAGTCTGTTCTTCTGGAGATTGTTGATTACATGCCATGAGAGGATCAGAAAGACAAAGTAACATCCAGCAAAGGTGATCCATGCGGAGAGATAGAAACTGTTGGTCGCACTGAAACCAGGTAATGACATCGTTCCCAATTAGTTAAAGTAGGACGTCTGCCTCAAACTTCCTCCATGACAACTACATTTCGAGCAGAACCCAGTGATCGCTTCTTCTTGGAGTGGTCAGCAAGCACAATCCGTTCTGGCAGAGGACCGTACTGCTTTGGCTGAAGTGTTGTTGCATGCGTTGTGTTCTTACCGTCGATGGTTTCTTCATTAACATCGTTGTTATCAGCTGCCAACTGAGTGAATGCACCAGGTCTTATGTTAGTAGGGATCATAACACCACTGGCATGTGCTCTCGCTATGCTTTCATTTTCCAAGCTAGTCTCCACTTGTTCGATCTCTTCATAGGAAGAACAGTAACACATTCTATTTAGAAGTGTTATCAGTTGTTTGGAACCAGTTAAGTGCTTGACGGTCATAACGAGACCTACGTGCTTGGGCAGCTTTACTGGGGCATGTGATGCACAATGAATAAGATCCTGCCCAGCCATTACAATCTTCCGCTCATCGGATGTACTCCTTGCACTAGAAGGTGAGTCGTCGCTTTACTGTTCTCTAGTAACAATCCACCTGATAAGCCAACAAAGGCTCTTGGGAAGAAGAGATTTTGCAGTATCCAAGTGTAAATCTCGGATGTCAAGTGGGTTGATGTTAATGCTCTCACATCTCAGCATCTCCCACCTGATAATGGAAACTATAGTGTAGATGTCTAGGAAACTGAAAGTTTCTGACTCTGGCTTATCCATGCCGATAGAGTTTGTTTCGTCACGTAATGGACAAGTGCTCGCTGCATTTATGATATCAATTAAGGAGATGGAGCTGCTGAAAACAATTTCCGGTCTGGATTGTTGAGAAGACTGATGGAAAACAAGACGTTCCTTAAAATGAGCCATCAATCGTGCTTTCAGCCTCTGCTTTGTGTAGCTACCTGCATCAATTCCTATCTTTTCCAGCTCCTTCTTGAACATTGCCAGCAAAACATTCATGTCGTAGGCTTCTCCTTCCTCAATTTCGGGGGCTATGACCTTCCGTAACTGATTGAAGGCTTGATCAAGAGTGCTTTCCTCTCTTGTGGATGTAGCGACGTTCTGTTTCCGCTTGATATTAACCTTGCTGATATAGCAGGCATGACACGCTTTGTGGTATTTTTCCTCCGCTGCAAGAAGATCATAGTTAACCGACCGAAGTATGGATAACAGTTCATGGTCTCCTCTTGCCTCTGCAGATTCCTTTATACTGTTGCATGCTTCAAAGGTGGCGATGTTTATTAGCTGTCGGTCCTTTAGTCTTGTTGCATTTTTGCAGAAAAGACACTTTGACCAATCAAACACCATGCGTCGCTCTTTCGATTGTGCTTGAACATCACTTGAGGATTGTACTCCAAAATACCGTAAATTCTGTTTGCTGGTATATGTTTCGTAACACGATGAATGCCACAAAATATCTTTCCCGGCCACATTACGGAGATCGTCAGCTGAAAAACGATGCGAGATTTCCTAAAGCAACCATAACCACTAAAGCTCACAACATTAAACCTCACCAGACAGAGCTCAAGGATATTTATAGCAGTATAGACCCTCTATAGAACTTTTTGTTGAAAAAAATATTAAATATTTTAAAGAACTTTGAAATAACACTGCAGTCTACTGATATTCATAAAATCTGAATATAAATGAGAAAAATGTTCATTAAAATTATATTCTTGTGGTATTACTTTTTTACATCTTTTTCATGCCACTTTTTCAAAGATTTGACCCGTTTTGAGGGTGCTTTTATTTAAGCCTCGTTTCCATGTAAACAGTGACGGAAGAGAGACCAGCACTAACATTGTCGATTTTCTGGAATTCTACGCTTCCAAATGTTTTTTTTAATGTTATTCGAAAGTATACGACTTCTTTGTTTCCTCATATGATGAAAAGCCTGAATAGGTCCTTTATCCTAGTCTCAACAGGATTTGAAATATGTCGGGATCGACAAAAGAGGCTGCTTTTTGACGAAAAAATAGTCATGTGACAATCACGTGACATGCTGTCGTGCCATGTGAACACTTATATTGTAGGTAGGTACATGCTCATCATTTTTCCAGAAAGGTTTGAGGCACGCGAAGAAGATGAAATTTGAGGTCAATTTCTGTTTTAGCCTTGTCTCCATGCTGAGTGCCATCTCATGGTATAAAGCCCCATTTATCTCGTCAGGGGTACCACAATTCGGGACTACATAGCATCTTATCTTAAAGAGCAGGTATTGGTCCATCAGAATCAGCTGTCAAACCTTTTCTGTCGGGTGGGTTGAACGAAACCAGTTTTTGCTGGGTCTGGCTCCTTGACTATTATAGAGTCTCTGTGGCTCAGTGGTAGAGCATCGGATCGCGGAAAGTGAAATTTTCTTTGTCCCTTTCCCACAACAAGACGAAAAACATCCATCTGTGAGCATAGAGCTGTCAAAAATGTCAAACCATCAAGCTTCACAATCCGCAATAGTTCACAAAATGAATAGTTCGGTTGGCATTCAACCTTTTTTAAGGGAAAGTGAAAGTGAAATGTTCAGTGAAATCCGGCCGAGTTGTGGTCCATAAAAAGTCGTAAGTTTTTTTTTCCACGTGTAATATACTAGGGTCCAGACCCCCTGCATTTAGGGAATGTTAGTACATGCGGTTGACATTAAAAAATGGCGAGCACTTGATTCGTGATGTGAGCTTCAAATATTACAATTTCTA